AGAGGGCTTGCTTCCTCGTTCTTGTGGGCGCCTCGCTCGAGAACTTGCAACTGTTCGAGGATGGTGGCTTTCTCTACCATCAAAACATCTCTATCAATGCGAGCTGGTTCTTTCATATTTTCATGAGACCAGATGCGTGGATAGGCCAAAACGTAACTTTGGGATTACTAAGGGAATGTCGAAGGCCGAGGCGGGGATCAACCGTCATTGATGTTTGTTGCCCTACCCTAATTAGCTGATATAATTAGTTAGATACTTGACTAAAGTCTCAGTGAAATGGGCACATTCTAATATCTAGTTCTCTCTAGATTATCCATCGCACAAAATATAATGCTGTCTACTAACTGGCCGAAACAAGGATTTGACTGTCGTATCAACTGGCCAAGGGGCCTTGAATATTCTCAATCTGACTAATATTCTTTTCAGGGCCTCCATAGAAATACAACAGACCGTTGTGTATGCTATTCCTGTCCATCACCTCTTCGGGCTCAACAGTCCACCGTCGGTCGCGTATTGTAATATCTACAACTGATTTCTATTCACTCGTCTACATACATGAATCGGTCATTAACGGTTTTTTTTCTTCTAAATCTAGCCCTGGGTGGGTCGCCAATCCGTATCGACACCAGCTTGCTTCATCTTGACAGAGAGTTCGAACAGGTAGTCCAAGCACTAATAAATGGTTAGTTAAGAGTATTTTTCGAAAGCGAGATGGAAAACTCACCTCTGCTTGGGTTTTGGCCGACTCCCAGGTTGGGCCTGGACCAAATCGTCAGAACGTCATGTATCCAACAGTGCTATACTCACCCCATACATAGACACCGTGTCTCCTAACGAGAACGGCAGCAGCATCTGGGTACTCTTTCATAGCCTATATCGAGTCAGCGACCATAACGAAACGAGAACGGACGACTCACTTCTACCATAGTATGCCTAAGATCCTCCTCTTCAGGCGTATTCTCAATAATCGGAACGACGAGTTCGTCCAAATACGTCATGGTCTTGCGAACGCCTCCCCACCTAACGCCCTTGATCATCTCGAGTCCACTCACCCGCCACTCCTTTCCAGGCCACAACAGCGTAGCCATAACCGCATGCTGAGAATGCGTATGAATACACGCATAGGCATTACGCAAATCAAAGGCGGCCCAAAAGAGCGGAGTGCACGCCGACTCTTTGAGTGGGATCACAGGCTTGCGCAAAAAGGTGCGTTCGTGGGCTTTAGACGCGAGAGGCGGTTCTTCTTGTGGATAAGGCAGTACGAAAATGTGCGATGGATGGATCTTTTCTTTTTGCACGCCGGATGGGGCAATGTACACTTTTTCACTACCCGAATTTACGGAGTGAAAATTCGTCCGATGTTTTATCTCGAATTAGGGTTGTTAGCGGGATGCAAGGAGCGGCCACACTCACTCGTCACGGATCGAAATCCCGCCTCCGGTGCCGGTGACCCACCCCAAATGGTAAAATCCCTTGCATAGCTCTGGGATGAGATTGGCTGGCTACATGTACGTATTAGCGCTTCTAGTGTGCTGGTGCACATGGAAGAGGGCGAGAAAGGAGAACATTTCAAGCGGATCATGGAATCACTAGAGGGTGCGTGCGGTGGATCATCTCACGTGGTGTGGATCTGCAGAGGTCACCAGTTCGTCTGAAGTGTCGATCGATGTCGTGTTTGTGGCTTCGTTCTTGGTTTCTGTGGTGTTCATGATGATCCGAGCGAGGTGGAAGAGAGAGAGAGAAGGCGAAGACGCTATGCAGGACGCAAGCGACAAATTCTATGTCATAACAGATGAACGCATTGCACTAGTCTCGAGCGCAATGTCGAAATCCCCAAAAATGTAGGGAAAATTCCTGTGGTGATTAAGGTTAAACTCGAGTCTGTTTACGGCAATGTCAAAAGGATGCCCGGGCATCTACGGGGCGCATGAATACGATACGCAACCCTTTAATGGTTGGCTTGCAAGAACTGGATAACAATATGCCCTGTCTCTCTCATTCAGCGAAGCAACGCCCTGAATCCACCCGCCGAGGGGCTCGAGCCGCCATCGCAATTGCGAGTATCAGTGAGAGGCAACAGAGTGAAGTTGCGTGATAGCAAGTTCGCTGTCAGAAATCAGGAAAAATAATCGTGCAGCGGACGGAACAAAATGAGAACTTGTCGCAGCAAACATAATTGCGGCCCTGCTCTGGGTCCAATCAATTTCAATGACGTTTTTGTTGAGTGGCCCGCCGAGGCGGATGGAGTGCGCTTGGCCCCATTCGTTTGTAGCGCTCTCCTTGGACTCGACCACAACTCTACATAGCCAACAAGCTATCTATTTCTCCAGCTAAAAACCCGGAATTTCTGGGGTTTATAAATACGCAACATTCGGTTGGACCCCGACATATAAAAGTCTGTCGGTCCTTCGCTCCGGGTGCAACCCAGATCCATCCTGCTCTCATCCGTTTACCTACCACCAGGATCCAAGTTTTCTCTCTCTTCAACGACCAGTTCAACGACAGTGAGTATGTTTGACCCTCTGACGACGTGCATTACCCACCCCGTCCCTTCTACACCCACCTCATCATCATCGGCGCCGGAGAAACTTGTGCTCACACGATCACCATTACTTTTTTTTTCGTTCGAATTTGCAGCAAACCGCTCTCGCGCATCATGAATCACTCTCCAAAATCTACTAGAAGCTTATCGTCTGAGTCTTCAACGGACTCGATCGTCTCGTCCGCACTCAAGACACCCATCGACGTGCAAGAGGAGATGGCTGCCCTCGTCGACCCTTCCTTCCCCCTCCCTGCCAAATTCAGGTCTCACCCTCACTCGGGTCAGATGATGTCCAACGTACTCGCTTCACGTCTGGAATCCCTTCCAAAGCGCGCGACCACTGTACCGACGGCTATCGCTTCCTCCTCTTGCTCAATTAAGAGCAAAACCCTCGACCCACGATCCCCACCGTGTACGACAAACTCGACGACAAACGCCACTAGCACAAGACTCGGCCGACTGAGGAGTGAGAGTATTTCATCCGTGGCGTCCAATGGCTCTCAATCGTCTGCCCTCCTTCGCGCCACCCTGCTCATGGCCTCCCCTTCTCTCCGCAATTCTTATCACCATCATCACCATTCCGATTCTCAACACTCTCGCGCTCGATCACACTCGGAATCCCAATCCAAATCGAATCCTCAACCCCACTCTCGGGCGCAATCCGTTGGGCACCAGCTACCGCAACAGCAAACCCAACTGTATATGCGTTCAATACTCAATACAAGCAGGAACAGGAAGAATAACGTCAGCGTAAATGGAAAGGAATCCCACCCTCCGGCGTCCGCGTCCGGGCCCACCTCTAGTCTGCTGACCCCTCGTACCTCCATCTCCTCATTCGCGTCCACATCGCTCTCCAGTCCGAATTCCCAGTCTTCACGTAATGATTCCACTCGCCGAGGCAGCCATAGCTCTTCTGTCGACCGAAAAAGCATCACGAGCAATCTCTCCACTGGCAGTCGAAACTTGTCGACCGAACTCGTAGGAGCACTCGTCGCGGCCGAGGCAACCACTGCGGTTTCGACGCAGACGTCCTCTTCTCTAGCGCAGTTTGCACCCACATCAGGTGCGAAAACGAGCCTGCTTCAGTTTGGCGTACAGAGGCACGAACGTGCGTCGACGTCAGCGGAGGGCTTGTTGTCTATTAGCACCGGTCGTCATAACGTTGTCGTCACGCCTTTTGCCCAGCCGGTGGACGCGAGAAGAAGTCGCAGTCGAGGTAATGGTGGCCGTCAGCGTCTGTCCTCTGCGTCATCATCGACGGGCCTCGTCCACGAACGGCAAGAGCAGGAGGTAGACGAACAAAGGCCTCAATTTGGTCTACGCTATGTTACCGGATGGTTTGGTAAACAAAGGGATCTCCCGTCCATCTCCAGGGGATTAGAACCCGATACGAACATGGACGATTCGGCGTTTGGAGGCATCCAGGTCACCAGAAAACATCATTTTCGTTCTGCTACCGAAAGTATAGCGAGCTCGATTGCGGGAAAGAGGGAGAGTGGACTTGGGTTTACGTCTAGGCACTTGCGGACTGGGTCGAACGCCATCGAAGAGGGTGCTTTGGCAGCAACGCCGCGGCCCACCTTTCCCATTGACTCTCACACTCCCAAACAACTCTCTTCCCCTCAATCCAAGGAAAAGGAAGCCCAACAAGCTGATGCGCCCCGTATTTCTGCGTTGGACAAGGGCAAGGGAAGAGCCCGACCGCTCTCGCCCACGTTGACCCGCCATGCCTCATCACCCCCAGGAGACTCGAGATTGCGCCCAGATCCTGCTTCTCTTCTCTCTGTACCCAAACCAGCAAGCCCTCCTTCCAAACGGAACGGGGGGGACTTGCCAACGTTGGCAGCAATCGAGTCCGGGTCGCGTTTGATGCGCCAAAAGATTGTGTGCGCGACCTGCGGAGAGACTGGTCCCGATTTCCCGAGGTGTGGACGCTGTGGAGAGGCTTGGTGTTCCCGCGACTGTAGGAACGAGGCCAATAAGGCGACGGGAGGAAAGCACCGTTGTTGTGCAAGTGTCGCCTAAGGAGGCCTGTAATTCAAGAAGCCAAAAATGTAGGGAAAATTCCTGTGGTGATTAAGGTTAAACTCGAGTCTGTTTACGGCAATGTCAAAAGGATGCCC